AAACGCATAAAATAAAACGTACAATGCAAACGTATATACTAAAACGTACAATTCAAACGCATAATCTAAAGCGTACAATGCAAACATAAAATCTAAAACGTACAATGCACACGCATAATCTAAAACGTACAATGCAAACGTATATTCTAAAACGTACAATACAAACGCATAATCTAAAACGTACAAAGCAAACGTAAAATCTAAAACGTACAACGCAAACAAATAATCTAAAACGTACAATGCAAACGTATAATCTAAAACGTATAATAAAAAACGTACAATGCAAACGTACAATCTAAAACGTACAATGCAAACGCATAATCTAAAACCTACAATTCAAACATATAATCTAAAACGTACAATGCAAACGCAAAATCTAAAACGTATAATCTAAAAGGTACAATGCAAACGTATAATCTTAAACGTACAATGCAAACGTATAATCTAAAACGTACAATGCAAACGCATAAAATAAAACGTACAATGCAAACGCATAATCTAAAACGTACAATGCAAACGTATAATCTAAAACGTACAATGCAAACGTATAATCTAAAACGTACAATGCAAACGTATAATCTAAAACGTACAATGCAAACGTACAATAAAAACGTACAATGCAAACGTACAATCTTAAACGTACAATGCAAACACATAATCTAAAACGTACAATGCAAACGCATAATCTAAAACGTACAATGCAAACGCATAAAATAAAACGTACAATGCAAACGCATAATCTAAAACGTACAATGTAAACGTATAATCTAAAACGTACAATGCAAACGTATAATCTAAAACGTACAATGCAAATGTATAATCTAAAACGTACAATGCAAACGTGGCTCTGTGGCTATAAACAGCAGCCCTGGGCACACGCACCTGATTCTCGGGACAAGGGCCTTGGCAGCATTTGGTGAGTGCCACTAAACACTGATTGACCACCTCAGCCAACGGACGATCCAGCCGCTCAAACAACGACGACGCAGTGTTACCTGAGAGAGAGAGAAACACACACACACACATGAGGTGTGCCACAGAGGCTATCAGGACATGACATGGCATGGGCAGGCATACGGGTGACATACACTCACACGTACATACTCTGCTAATGTAACATGTGAGATGCACTTCCATTTACGTACACCAATGATATAACATGTGACTTACACATACATACAGTCATGATATAACATACACGTACACATATGATACAACATGTGACTTACACATACATACAGCCATGATATCACATACACGTACACATATGATATAACATTTGATGAGGGGGCGCGTGGCTACGTCTGCAGCGGAACATATGGAGAACAGACGGTGTGGCATTTGACAGAGATATGAGTGAGCTACGTTTGGTAAAACGAGCGATGCTATAACATAAGTGCAGGGCACACGCAATGTAGACACCACACACACACACAGGTACAAATACAATAACACACTCGCAATAACACACACACAATTACGCACACACACAGATACAGATACAAAAACACACACACATACAGATACAATAATACACACACACACACCGATACAGATACAAAAACACACAGACGACCACGGCTAAGTATATCAGAGAACCGTCACAGACAGTCACACACACACAATAACACATAGACGCAGATACAGACAGACACAAACACAAACACACGCACACACACACATACATAAGCATACATGTACACTCGCAAGGTCAGCCAGTCACCTACCACAGATGCGGCGCATGTAGGCCATGACGTCTGTCACTAGGTTGTATGACACGAGACTGTCTGGTTGAATGCGCATTATATCTTGCAGATCAGAGCGCGCGTTCTCACACAGCAGTTGAATGAACCGCAGCACCGTCAGAATCATCTGCATCTCACGGCTGAGCGGATTGGGCAGGGTGGGTGGAGCGGAAAGGAAGAACATAGAAGGGAAGGACATAGAAGAGAAGAGAAGAGAAGAGAAGAGAACAGTAGATATAGGAAAAGGAAGAGGATGAGAGGGAAGACGCAAACGGTGGTCAGGCATATATGCAACTCAGATACACGCACACAGGTACACACAGATGATATGCAACTCAGATACACGCACACAGTACACACAGTCGATATGCAACTCAGATACACGCACACAGGTACACACAGACGATATGCAACTCAGATACACGCACACAGGTACACACAGACGATATGCAACTCAGATACACGCACACAGGTATACACAGACGGTGTGTAGTGGGTGTGTTCGTTGGTTGATACGGGGGCATGGGCTACGCTGTGGACTGATGGCGAATGAATGTCACACACACATGCACTTACACATATGCACACACTTCACAGTATGCATTCACATACTATATCACACACATACACATACACATATACACATACACATACACATACACATATACACATACACATACACTTACACATACATATACACATACACATGCAGACATGACTTACTCGGGTGGCGGTGTGTGCGTGTGGCTGCTGGTGCTGCTGTGTGTCCATGTTGGCCATGGGCTGACTGCCAGTGCGAGGGCCGTGTGGTCACTCGCTGCGTTGTTGGTGCTGTGTGCACAGACAAATGCATGCGCACATGTTACTTCTGTGTGTTGCGCGCGATAGCGTGTGTTGTGGTGTGTTGTGGTATGTGTTGTGTTGTTGTGTGCTGTGTTGTGTGTGGTAAATTGCAATTGTGGTAGTCAGTATAATACAGATAGGGGTTAAGTTTGTGAATAATATAAAACATACATACATACGTACGCATACACATACGTATACACACACATATATACATACGTACATACATATACACACACACACACAAACACATACAAATAGATGCATACATTGATGCATACAAGCAAACACACACACACATACAATCAAGTACATACAATCACACACACACACATACATACATACATGCATACATAAACACACACACACACACACACACACACACACACACATATATATATATATATATATATGTATATATACATACACACACATACATACACACAAGCACATACATACATACATATATACATAGCTCTTTGAACCATTCAATAACTACATCCATGCACCCAATCCAAGCCCGCTTACTCCTGGTTCTTCTGGTCCCCCTGTGCAGCGTCTCTGCCCTCTTTGTCCGAGCCCTTGCCCTTGTCCTGCCCCTCCTGGTCCTTGTCCTGGGGCGCAGGTGCAGGGCTGTTGTCCCGTGTGCTGCCCTCGCGCTTGGTGTTCTGTCGCGCTGTGTTGAGTTGGGTGGTGAGGACTGTTGTGGCGTGGTCGTTGAGCAGTGTGTGGATCAGCTCAAACAGCGGCGTAGACGACGGCAGCCGCAGGCGGTGCAGGAAGGACGTCTGCACAGCCACTTGGCCACCTGTTAGATAGTGGACGGCGCACGGGTCAGTCTATAAATAGAACTGCTCTTGGGCTTCCATCTATTTATAGAACAGGTGGACACACAGCGCGTGAACGGTTGGCGTAGCGGTAAAGACATGCGTGCCCATAACCGCTCTACTAGAGACGTCTGCTACGCTGCACTGATCTCTGCATACACATGCGCGTGGCAGATTAAGAATGTGTTTGGCGTGTCTGTCGTTCTATATTTAGAACAGTAGATATAAGAGCGTAGTATTGATTGGCGTTGAAGGTGTCGTAGACATCAGCGTTCCCTATCGTTACAGAAAGCACGTCCTGCACGAGGCACATGACACACGCAATCTATCTATGATCTTACAACTATGATATATATTGCTATCTTGTCATTCGCTCCTGACAATCTTGGTCTAGTTGTATGCAAAACTAAATGATATATGTATATATATATATACATACATATATACATATGTAGTGTATGCGTGTCTATATACACGGAAGTCATCACACACTGTCTGCTTCTCCACTGAAGAGCTCGTGCGAGTGCCCACACCTTCCAACAGAGCCACTGCCAGCTGGAAGGCTGCCAGTTGCACCGAGGTGTCGTCTATTTGCGTTAGCAGTGCCACGAGAATGTCTGCCACTGCGTTGTTGTTCATTGTCGTCTGTATACAGCGACAGAGGAGAGCGCATGTAACGTCAGGGATACGTTTATAAACCATTGGGTGGTACGTTTACTAGTCTTTCATAGAAACACATAATAACCCTTGAGTAATACGTTTACCAGTCTTTCAGTGATACGCTTACTACCGTAATATTAAAGATTGGTAACCAAGAGGAAGCAGTGCGCATAAGAGCGGTTCATTTAGTGTAGGTAGTGACAATGGAGTATGACCGAACGCAGCGACGAGAAAAAGGTCAGATTAAGACCCACCGGTGCACACAAAAGATTTACAAATACGTATCATACGATCACAACAACGTACAACGACGACAACACTCATGACCACTGATATAACTCCTTCACAAGCACACACATATACACAGATGTAACACAATTCAAGCACACACATGACCACTAACCTAACTCACTCCCAAGCACACACATATACACAGATGTAACACAATTTAAACACACACATGACCACTGATATAAGTCACTCACAAGCACACACATATACACAGACGTAACACAATTCAAACACACACATGACCACTGATATAAGTCACTCACAAGCACACACATATACACAGTTGTAACACAATTCAAGCACACACATGACCGCTGATCTACCTCTCTGTATACCCATGTACATGTGTGTGTGTGGTTGTACCTACCTCTCTGTATATCCATGTACGTGTGTGTGAGTGGTTCTACCTACCTGTGTACGTGTGTGTGTGTGTGTGTGGTTGTACCTATCTGTATGTATGTATGTATGTATGTATGTATATGTATGTATGTATGTATGTATGTATGAATGTATGTATATATGTATGTATGTTTGTATGCATGTATGTATGTATGTATGTATGTATGTATAAATGTATGTATGTATGTATGTATGTATGTGTGTATGTATATATATATATGTATGTATGTATGTATGTGTGTGTGTGTGTATAGTTCTACCTACCTGGATGACTGGTAGTTCGAAGGGTGCCCCATCGGCTAAGAAGTAGAATTTGCAGATCTTGCGATAGGCTGTGCGTTGCTGTGCGTCTGCCAGCGCAATGGGCTGCAGCATCAGCTTAGAAATGGCCATGATCTAAACAAAAAAAGAAAAGAAAACGAAAGAAAAAGAAAAGAAAAAGAAAAAGAAGAGAGAGAGAGTGAGCTGGTCATAATCTGAGTGCAATAAAAACAAATGTAAATATGAATGCAAATGCATATAGTAGTGTAGCAATGAATGCAAGTGTCCATAGTAGTGTAGCAATGAATGCAAGTGTCCAAAGTAGTGTAGCAACGAATGCAAGTGTCCATAGTCGTGTAGCAATGAATGCAAGTGTCCATAGTAGTGTAGCAATGGGAGCGTGGCAGGTTGACTTAAACCTGCGCGTGAGCAAGACGTATACAAACAACGCGGGCCAAGACTGGACGTGCGTGTATGTATCCACCTGTCTACCTACCTCCATGCACACATATCCTCTGTCTACCTACCTCCATGCACACACATCCCCCTGTTTACCTACCTCCATGCCCACAAATCCCTCTGTCTACCTACCTCCATGCCCATATATCCACCTGTCTACCTGCCTCCATGCCCACATATCCCACTGTCTACCTACCTCCATGCACAGCGCGTACTCCTCTGGGGTGCCGTGGGTGACTGCGTTGTTGTTGAGTAGGGCTGTGGTGTCGTTGATGGTTAGTCCTATGTTGTGTTCACGTACAGTCCATAAATTGTTTGGGTGCAGCAGCACAGCCGTCAGCGCTTTGGTCTCGACCGCCACCATGGGGCCGATTTTGTCCACAAAGGCATCCACAAACCGTCGGAAATCTATATTTGGACGGGCGCAGAGGAGTGTGATTGGTCGTCTATAAATAGACTGATAGGAGGAAACTCTTGACTGGAGTGTGATTATGACAAGTAGTCTGGGTCTGCTACCACGGATGTTGGTGTCACTGAATGTAAACGTTGTTAGAATTGGCAGTCCATCTATGGATATCGATTTAGACACCGAAGTAGGTATCAGAATAAAGTATATATGCACATACATCCATGGAAGAGTATTTGTAAACGTATATCTGTGGGTGAATGTATACATGCACATACATCTATGGAGGAGTATCTGTGTAGGTATATCTGTGGGTGGATGTATACATACACATACATCCATGGAAGAGTATTTATGTAGGTATATATGTACATAATAAGTACTTGAAACATAAACCATACCTCCAATAACCATGCGCACCATGGCGGCCGTCTGTTGGCGAATACCTACGGAGGCATCGGTCAGGTCATCACTGCTGGTGTCTGACAGCACATCGTCAGTCAAGGTAGTCATCCTGTAGGTAGGCACAGAGCGGTGAGAGAAAGCCCAGGACACCAACTGGTATTCAAATGCCTGTCAGAGTACATATATATATTTGCTATATATATATACATATATATACATACATATACACACATATATACACGCACACACACACACACACACACACACACATATATAT